GGTAAAAATCGTCATCTGATCGCCTATAAAGATTTGGAATCACCGCGCGGCTTAGCTTTGGACTACGAGGCTGGGCTCCTGTTTTGGACTGATTGGGGACATTATCGCAAGATCGAGCGTGCGCATATGGATGGTGAAAGTCGACAACGTATTGTCACTTCGAATCTTGGCTGGCCAAATGGTTTGTCGCTGGACTTGAAGACGAAACGTATCTACTGGGTCGATGCGCAGCTGAAGACTATCGATTCGTGTGACTACACTGGCAATCAGCGTAAATTGATAATGTCCTCACTGCACCATCCTTATGCGCTGGCCATGACTGATGATCATATCTATTGGACGGATTGGAAATCGAAAGCTTTGCATATGACCGATCGACGAAACATTACAGCGAAAAAGGAAATAATGACCAATCTAGATGGATTGATGGATATCAAAGTGATAACGGTAAGAAACATATTACTTACTATATTTATAAATGTATTGTGACATAACCACTTACATATCAACAGGTCAACAAAACGCAACCGGAAAATGTTTGCGGCAACAACAATGGTGGCTGTTCGCACCTTTGTCTGCGCAATCCAACGGGCTATTCTTGTAGATGTCCCATCGGTCTCAAACTGAAAGAAGGCAGCACCAATCAGTGTCAGACCTTACCAGATGTAAGTTTCTCTTTCTGGTACAGCAAAACCGCTTTTCTAATTTGCCATACAATTTTGCACGCAGGAGTACCTACTGATTGCCCAACGCTCCGGCATTGGCATGATCTCGCTCAATATGCCCGATTACATGGACGTGGTATTGCCCATAAATGCTGTACATGGCGCCGTTGTGCTCGACTACCATTTCCGCAAGAAGTTGCTTTACTTCGCGGACGTCAACACAGACGTAATTAGACGCGTTGATCTCACAAATCTCTCTGACAGCAGGGCTATTGTAAATAAAGAACTGTTGACACCGAATGGCATTGCAGTCGACTGGATTGCAGATAATCTTTACTGGTCCGACACAGATCGAAAAGTCATTGAAGTTGCGCGTTTGGATGGCAGTTGCCGCAAAGAACTCATCTCCGAAGATTTAGGTGATCCACGTTCGCTGATCCTGCATCCGCGCAAAGGGTTTGTTTAGCTGCAGCATTTGCCTTTCAAAAGGTTTTTCATTGCATATTTGTTCAGGTATCTCTTCTGGTCTGACTGGGACGCACCGGCACGCATAGAACGTAGCTTGTTGGACGGCTCTAATCGCAGCATTATTGTCACCGACAATTTAGGTTTCCCCACCGGACTGACGCTGGACTTTGAGTGAGTTTTGACGCAAGATTAGTGAGAAAAAAGTTCCATTTAAATTTCTTCTCTTTTCACAGTAACCGCCGCCTACTTTGGGCCGATGCGTTGGAAGACAATATTGTCTCGGTCGACTTCAATGGCAAGCGCCGCACAAAGATTGTGGACTATGCGCCGCATCCATTTGGTCTGACAATGGTTAGCAAGATGCCGACTAATTTACTAATTATTTTCTCTTGTCGACCACCCAATTTGCACTTATTAACTTCATATTTTTCTTATCCTCTTGCTTACTCTCTAACAGTTCGATAACAGCATTTACTGGACCGACTGGTACAACAAATCCGTCTATCGTTCATTTCGCAAGGGGCGTGGCTTCAGCAATCCCGTAGAAATACGCGACTCTCTCAATGGCGCGCTCGATATACGCGCAGTCTCGATCAAACGTCAAGTGGAGGAGTGGAATCAATGTGCCCAGGAGAATGGCGGTTGCACACATCTTTGCCTCTTCCGTGGCTCAGACTATGTGTGCGCTTGTCCCGATCAGTCCGATGATCGTGAATGTAAACCCACACCGAGATTCTTAGTGCCGCGCCGTAGCGGCGGCGACAACACACCAGATTATGGCGAGGAAGCGACAGATGGCGACGGCGCTTCAACGGAGCATGATGACGATACATACGAAGCAAGTTCAAAGACGAATGAGCGTGAAACATTCATACTCATCGCTAGCGGTGTCGTGATTGTGATGCTTCTCCTGATCATAGCCGCCATCATATGTGAGTTGGGAATGTATAGAATTTCTTTAGATTTAGATAATATTTTGTACCATTCTGCTCTTTTTCTGCAGTTCTCATATTCAATTCGAAACGCAATAAAACGAAAAGGCACTCGCGTGGCTCCAGTCGATCTGTGCTGACATTCTCCAATCCCAATTACAATGTGGATGGTACGCCAATGGAGCCAAAAACGAATATTTGGAAACGTTTCAAATACGACAAATCGCATGTAAGTAGATTTTGAATATAATATTGATTCGAAATGCAACTGGAAATGGAATACACTCCCTGTTCTGGTGCGCAGTACGTTTGCATCTTTACGACCAAGCAATTCACCATATCAAAACTTCCGAAAAAAATATTGCACATAAGTTTTTCTTTGAAACCTTAAAATGTTGAACATAATTTGAAGTTTCCGGCAATATCCACAAGTTGGAGAATGAGCATTTAAGCGGTTTGCGCCGAGTTCAACATGCATAGCTCAAAATTCGTTTCTTCTATTAAAAAAGACTTAATGAAGCCATGTGTTATATGTATGTACATAAGGATGGGCACAACGTAAGGCTTAATGCTAAATGTTTGTTCGTCAGGAGAGGTGGACTTTACTGGTCAATCTTCTACTCACTCCAAAGTATAACTTGTTGTGAAGTGAGGTTCCCTGTCTTCGGATCTTTTCACATTGTATCTTGGGGCTCCGATTACATTGGTTTGAGTCACGCAGCCTCAGTCCGTTATCGGACGACATATTTCATAAATAAGGCTAAGTTAGTTTGAAGTGGCTCTTGAGTTTACAAGTCAGCCCACCTAGACGGTGTATTCCACCGTAGACTCAGGACTCCTAATACTTTTTAAACCAGTCCATAGAGCTTAGGAAACTTAGCAACTGCCATAAACTCATTTTTGCAGTCACACTGAGATCTCATAAAAATTGTGTAAGTAGAAATGTTTGCCTACAATTGTGACAAATCTACCTCGAAAATTCAGGTCTCTAATTGAGCTGGCAATGAGTTGTGGCACTAATTCTAGGCGATAAAGACATACCGGGCAACTATGCTCCCAATGAATTAGCAAGGAAAGGTACCTTACTGTCTGTAATCAGTACCGATCGTAGTGCGGGCATTCTGCTATCTTCTTGCAAACTCTGGCTGGAAAATAACTTTATCCAACGGACAAATACAAAATGGTCTGCAGTGCCTACGTGCAGGATATTTCGCCTAATTTAGATATGTGTAGACCTCTACCTTTCCACTGCTCAGACAGCCACTACCTGATGGGCACCCATGCTATTAGAAGGGGCAGCTATTTAGTCAAACGATTACTGTCGTACCTGCCGTGATTTGGAGGAAATCGGGCCAGTACTCTTTTGTTTGTCTGGCTGAACTGAATACAGCTAACCCTTCGCGGGATAAGAGCAGCCAAAATAATCTAGCCTATGACAAACGTCGGACCAATTTCCTATGGACTCAAGCATAAAGTCCACAAGGTTGTCAACCTTAAATAGCTCCCCAACTTCCTGCTCAAGTCATCCCTTTCGATTGCAAATCTCGGGCAACGAAAAAGCATTGTTCTGCGTCCTCGATTAGCTGGTGCAGGCGGTGCAGTAGGAATCATCCTCGTGTGTAAGTCTGTAAAGCGGCCAGTCTCTATCTATTCGTTAGTGACTGAGAGGCTGCCAGAAATCGCTTCTACATAGAGCTCTAAACTCTTTCCATTACTTTAAGTTAAGTAAATACCGAACGAGTGATGGCTGTAAGTCCTTAGTCATAGTGCGAGACTTTATGTACTTCTCTACCAAGTGTTTCGGTATTTTCAGCTTAAAAGATATAAAGTATTTATAGTAACTTTGCAAACTTCTCAGCTTATACCGCGTTAAATGATTCTTTTTTTATTTCATTTACTTTTATCGCTTCATTTTATTAGGATCGAGTCTACGAGGAGCGTAGCATGACCACCGAGACAGCGTCGTCGAGCCTCTTCGTGCCGACGCCATCGCCAATGGCATCGCCTTCCACCAAACTAACGACACTCTCAACAATAACGTAAGCCAAGGCGTCGAAGAACCGACTGGGCACAGGCATATTGTAAAAATAAAAATAAAATGAACAAATTCGAAATCTAAAACTTAAAGCGAAACGCTAAAAACTGCGCGAGAAATTAACTAAAAGTACAGGCTGCAGTTTTTCCCAAAGGAATTTCAGATATACACTGGGAGAAACAATTCTAAATATATACATATATAATATGTAACGAAAGTATGGATAAGAGGAATAGTTGTTAGTGTAGCGGATTTAGAGAAATGACTTCAAGTTTTAATAAGTTTCTCTGTTGGCAACTACCGTTTTTTCTTTTTTGTTTTTGCAAATTTCGAAACCTTCATGATGAATGTATTTGAGTATTTATTGTATAATAAACAAAAAAAAAAAACAAACAATTTCTGTGTAAATATGTAGAAGTTAAAAAGAAAGCTGAAGAATAAATTGGCGCAAATGAGTAAATGTGTATGTAGAAAGCGAGTAAATAGTTAATAGATGAAATGTAAATGAAGCAAAATGCACGGTTGTTTCTAATTGCAAAAAGATAAATAAATACATAGAATGAAACTACATATTTATTTGTATGTGTGTGTGTGTGTAAATGTATGTATGTATTTTTATTAGACAGCAATCGTTTATTGATACAAAAATTTGCAGATTAACTAATTTACAACAACAAACTAACTAAGCAAAAAGAATAAATTATGCCGTCAACTGCACCACCACTCCACTACTCCACTACACTGTGCAAAAAAAAAAAGTTTTTAAAACTTAAAAATATGTAAATCGAAATTTTTGTATAAATTTTTTTCGGTGTATCTGATTTTTTAATTGGATTTAGTAATACAGTAATTCATTTCAACTATGAGAGTTACTACAGATTTTGTAAAAGGAAAACTGGACTGACACTAGTGGAAAATAGTACTTTGAAAATATAAGACGAACATGCCTTTTACGCATACATACACACGTACATAGAGGTGCAAACGTGTAAAAATACTGAAGAATCAAAATGACTTTAGTAAAGCATTTTAAAGCAACAATAACCGTGAAAGAGGCAGCAATGAAAAATATGAGTTTTTTTTTTTTTGTAATAAAAAAAGACACTTTCCTATTTGCAACACTGAACAAAACTAAAACTCAGCGACAAGCAACAACAAATTGTGCAAAGTATTTAGACAAGAAAAAAGTTTGAGGATAACGAGTATATAGTTAAGAGAATAAATACGTCAAAGCGTCGTCGGCGGCATTAAGGTGACCGTTCTAAAAATTTGTAAATAGTGAAAAATCGCTTAGCGTCTCAAAAAATTCTGCTACATACATACATATACGTGCATGCAAATTGAATGCATTCTTACACNTGCAGTAGCTAATGAGTCAGTACGCTTAGAATGCGTAGCAAACGACGAAGCAAATCACTTAAAGTAGGAACAGAAAATAATAATAATTTCAAAATGTGAGAAAGCATGAAAATGCGCCCAACTACGTAGTACATACATAAATAAATAAATAACAAAAAAAAAACAGTATATATATAAAATAAACTATAAATATTTATGTATGAAAGCCTGTAAATGAGAAATATTACTCGTTGTGCGCCAGCAGAAGTGATGAGTAAAACTGTGAATTTGTGCCAAAACAATTAAAATTAGGAAAAAATAGTAATATGTACAGGAAAACATATGTATATGTACATAAGTGTAAAAATTTAAAATTTATTGTTAGTGATAAGTTTTATTCAAATAAGTGTAAAACGTTTAACGCCAATTCGCTGTGCTCTTACACACTCTGCGCATAGCAAAATTGGCATTAGACGATTTTCGGAATTGTTTCTTGGATAATATTAATTCTTTTGCCACCTAACTAAAATAATAAAGAAAATATTTAATATTTGCGAGTCGAAATCTAAGCTCTTTGTAGTAAATCTAATTACACAAAACATTTTTTTAAATGCAATTTCCACCAAGTAGCTGATATTGATTTACTTTTTTTTAACATACTAGTTATTTGAAATTAAATTACATCTGCAAAAACAAATTTTAGCAAATTAAAAAAAAAAAACTAAAAAAAACTTGCTAAATATTTCTTGGTTTTAAAGTTTTAATTATGCAATAAAAAAATCAGCGACATAAAATAAGAGTTATCACTCTGTGAAGGAATATTTTCAAAAATTAATAAAATCTTACTTTTTAAGATTAAAATATAAAAATTATTTTTTTCAGTTTCCGTTATAAAACAAAATTTTATTGACTTTTAAATTTTTGCTTAAAAAAAATAAAACAAAAATATTTTCCGACTTCTATTTCAAATATAATTTAATTCTTTATTGAAACTAATTTTAGTTTTTTCTTAAATATGCCGTTCTTTTAGTTTAAAACATTTTCGAGTTTTTAAAGTTTTCTGAAAATTTTACATTACTTAAAAGATCGATAAATATGTAGTTCTCAAATTGGAATTTTTATAAAAACAAAAGTTTAATCTTGACGGCCAAGCTTAGCTCAAATGCCAAATTTTTTTATTATTGACAATTGAATTTTTATTTAATATTTTGAAAATAAACAAGCGACGTTTGTTCCAATATTTACAAAAGTATGTATGTTGATAGTTTTCAAGCATTTTATTTTAATAAGTTCGATTTTTTCCAAATTTGATATTTTAAGCACTTTTAACTCATGAGAAATCGTTTTCCAGATCCTAAAATTTTGCAGAAATCATACAAGTTTTACATTTTTTAATTTTCAAGAATTGAAATGTTAATTCTTTTCGTTTAACTCGCTTAATTTTTTTTTCAAAATATTTTCGGTATTTTTTATGTTTCCTTTTTCTAAATTAGTTGAAAAAATACTTAATTTAACAGTTCTCTCACATATTTTAAAATAAGTTCTTCAAAATTCGGTTTTAGAATTAAAGTTTAATTTATTTAAAAGACAAACGTGAAGCTTTTTTGGTGGTTAGATAGAGAGTTCTTTATCTTTCTAAGCTGCTTCAATTTAGTCGAGAGATCAAAAAAAAACAAAAACACACAGATTTTTCCGCTGAAATACATTTTAGGGCAAAGCTCTTTTAAGCTTTCTATACATTTTTTTAGCCACGTGTAGAGTAAAAGCTATATCTGCCCATCGATGGTGTAGAGCATCGCTTTGCCCGCTTTTTTTAATTTTCGGTAAATTTTATATAGGTCAGTGATGCTCAGAGAGACCTTTTACTCTGTGCGCTCCCCCCATAGATGTGTGCAGGGAAAAGCTCTATCTCTCTCTCTCTAAAGAAAAAGTTATATAGCTGTGATCATGAATGATTTACGCCAGGGGTCGGCATTCTAACACATTCAAACGATTCAAAACTGAGTCTGTGTGCGTTAAATGCTCACAGCGCTCAGTGAGCTATGGCCTGCCGACCACTGATTTACGCTATGAAGCGTTTGGTTAGCTCTGGGACGACCAGAGTGAGCTTTTGCCATATTACATATCTTATGTGGTCAAAAACTTAAGAAGCTTTGCACGCTTGATACCTGATCCTTAGCTCGATCAACTAATTTCTTTCAAATCACAGTTTCAAAATCAGATATTATAAAAAAGAAGTAAATTTTCGAGATTTTGAAACCCCATAACTAACTCAGTGACAGCCAGAGAGAGCTTTTACACTCTTTGCGTTGAAATAAACTTTACAAAGAGCTTTAAAAAGCTTATCTCGCGAGATATGTGTACAATACATAGTACGTACATATGTATGGATTTACAGCAGGGTGGTTTTAGGTACAAAATAAAAACCTCCACGAAAATTTAAAAATTTTTAACGAATTTTTGGGGTCACTGTCAGGCTTTGAAAAAGTTAAATTTCTTTAAATCGCAAAAATTCTACAAAATTTGGACTTCCAAATTTTTTTTTAGTTTACCAATTTTCTTGTATGTTTATACTTTGAAGGACCACCCTAATGTACAACCACTTATTCTCTTCATGAAAAGAGAGGGAGAGAGGTACAACAATTTTTATTGCAAACTAGCAAATACTCGGCGTGCTTCACTGCGCCTTAAAAGTATTTTTTTTTTGTTTTTTGATGCCCTTATTGTAATTAAAAACAATATTTCCAACAGGTGGCAACCCTCCTCAAAAATATTTTCGGCAGTAAACTTTCCAAAACCTCTTCAGGTTGAAACCCATATTGCAATATTTAATTTATCTTATCAATTAAATTAAATTAAAAGTTTCAAACATGTGGCAACTTCCACAAAAATATTTTCGGCTGTAAGCCCACTTAAATCTCTTTCTTTTGACAGCCATATTTAAATATTTACTTTATGTTATCAATTGTTTTAAAATGCAGTTATCAAACAGGTGGCAACTCTCTATTTTTTCCCCCCTATATTTTAAGTTATACGTCCAGCAATACATCGCTGAAATCTCTATTGAATTTCATGCTTTAGGTTTCGATTGTTGCGCTTACAAACATACAGACAGAGGGACAGACAGGCAGGTAAAAATTCTAAAAATTGTTATTTTGGTTATATTGCTCTAATAAATTAATTTTTCTTTAATAGCTATAATGTACAGACTGTAGCAATTTTATTATATGTATAGATTTTATTCTTTAGAACTTTTGAGTTTTTTGGTTTTAATGTTTTAGTAAGCTTATTTAAATTTTCGTATCGTTCAAACATTTGTAAATATTCTCCCATATATTTTATTTACTTGAATCAAAAATTATTCTAATACAACACAACGCTTAAGCAAATACCATGATTATTAAAGTTTTTTTTTTCTAAGAAAATATGCAGCTAGGTGGAAGAATTTATAAATTTAATTCTAAAACTATTCACAATTTTTTGCTTTGCACGAAGGTTGCTCCAACTTTGCCGCGGGCTCATACAGGCAATGTGGAGTGATCAGCAATCCAAAAAACTAGTGAATGAATTGTAAATACAAAAACGAAATAAATATCAATAACTAAAAAAATATTCACTACTTTAACTACCGATTTTACAGTGTAGAGTTAGCTCATATACGGCAGTTAACTTAAAATTTTTGTACTGAAAATCGCGAATTAACTGCCTAATGTAAGTTAGCTCGCCACTGCAAAAACGGGTCTAAATATGTGAGTGTAAAATTAAATAAAATTTTAAATAAAAAACTATTTAAGTACTCGTAAATGCAAAATTTTTAAATAATATTCCTTAATTTTTTCTCCAAAAATTTGTTTTGTACATGTTTGCACGTCAACAAGTGTTTCTATAGTAAAAAAAAAAAAATACATATTTGATAAAGCAAAAAAATTTCTAAAATTCAAATTCTCGCGGCGAAAAGGTTTACAAACTGCAACAGTACTTTTGAATATAGAGTTGTAAGTAGGCTTAGCGCAGCTGCATGTATGTAAATGTATATTAAAAAAAAAAAAATTACAAGCATTTTACTTATCAAATAATTAATTTTGTTATTTTCTAATTTACATTTAAATTTTTTAGAAACGATTATTCTAACTGTAACACAAATAAAATTTAATTATGTATATGAAGGAAAAAAAATACGAGTAAGTACATATGTACATACATAGATAAGGTGGATATTATTGGTTACAAACATATCTCCATCCATGAAAGAACAAAACTCTATTACAAAAACAA